AGTGGCACCCAAGCGACTTTTGCTCAAGTAAAACGGAAAGATCCCTGCTCGGGATTTTGGAAGGGTCCGGATCCTGTGTTAATATGGGGTCTGAGGACATGTTTGTGTTTTTTCACAAGAGGAGAATGAAGCTCCGTGGTTACTGGAGCTTCTGGTAAGGAGCGTGGAACTGAGGAAGGTCAGCTCCAATGACGTTCCTATAAAGGAACCAGAATGAAAGTGGCTGGATCAGTGTTTCTGAGGTTTTGTCACTGGTTAATGCAAACAGTGAGGAAACAGAGTTCGGAGCTGTGCTGTTTTGGCTTTACTAGTTCTTTTAGAAAAAAACTTTATATCACCTAATAGCTGCGCAGTTTTGTGAAGCGCTTTACAGCAGCTAAATATGGTAATTTCACCGTCAGCGTGAAGTGAAGTTTTTCCATAGAGCAAACCAAAAGTACTGCTGTAATAGAAACGTTTGTCTTCAGAAGCACTTAGGGGAGCTATTATGAATTCGGGTGAAGGGACAGCCTCTAGTTAAAAACCGTTTACCACTGACAGTGCATCTCTGCCGGTTCCTGATCGACTGAGAGAACGCGGCAGCTTTGGGGTGCGGCTTCATCCCGAGAATGTTACAGTTCCCTAGCAACGAGTATCACAACTCTATAAGGACAACACTCACTAAATCCCAGTGTTGTATAGCAAAGCTGACTATAAACTCTAAACTTTAGAAATGATGTACGTACTTCCTGTCTAGTTAAGAGAATCTTTCTAATAGAGATAATGATAATTAAGAGTAAGAAGTAAAAAAAGATGAAAATAAGATGTGAGTTTGTAGAAATTCTGTCTTGTTAGATCTGTGTTAAGAAATCTTTAGGTGTTTGCTAAGTTAAATATATGCTAATGGTAGCCCTATATAAGTTTGTAAAATAGATCTATAGAGTTCCTTTAAGAATATAAGCTTGTAAGAAGTATGTAAGGTAGTCTTAAGACATGTAGTAATAAGCTTGTAAGAAGTAAAGATGCTAGTTGTAAATGTAAGTTTAAATAAGATAAGAAGTATATAAGAAGTAATGAGAAATATATTTGCTAAAGTAGTTCTATAGTTTTCTTAAAGAGTATAAATAAGTAGATGTTAATGTTATATGTGAGTTTGTAAAAATGTGTAAATGTTGAGTGTGAGTTTATGCTAAAGCACGTTATATGTGAGTTTGTGTAAGTGTAAATATTGAGTATGAATCTATGCTTAATGTATATGGTAAAAGAATCTGAGACACAGAAGATAGTGTCCCAGTAGACTGCAAAGTGGGCAGTCTGAATGGTTTCAAAAGCTCCAGAAACCACTAAGAAGCTAAGAATGGCAGACGCCAGAACCAGCACAAGGCATCCGCAGCTGAGATCCGTGGAAAATCAAGGCAACACAGAAAAACCTGAGCTAACAGCAAAAATGGTGCAGTTTAAAATATTACTATAACTAAAAAGGTCTCTGGCTTGAGAATAAAAGTTGCAGAGACGCTTGTTTGAACTAAAATTGTTAACTGCAAAAAGTTTTGGTTGTAAAACATCTCTTCATATTTGGAAGTGAAAGCCTGATAACAGAATTTACTTTTTTGAACTTTTTAAAATGAGATAAAACTACGGAAAGATTTTGGTTATGGATTTCTTCATATTTGGAAAGCTAGTACCAGAATTTATCATTTGAATTTTGGGACTTAATGAAATGAACAATAGATTTCATTGCAATGGGACAATTTTGAGTTTACTTATAGTAATGACCTAGGAACTGTTTTCTGGAATTGGGTTAAAAATGGAACTGTTTCAATGAAGAAATTTGTTTCTACCTTGAGTCAAGATGCAGTTTTGTATATGCATATATGCTGGTGATTCATGTATTGTTCTGTGTTAAAAAATGCAATTGTTTTGTGGAACAGTTTAACATAAAAATGGAATTAGTTATGGAACTGGTTTTGTGTTACAAATGGAACTGTTTAAACGGAAAAGTTTGGATTTTCTAATTAGGCTTGAGACTTTCCTTAAAAAACTATAAAGAAAAGGGAGAGTTAATATTCCTTAGTCTATTTAATTAAAAAAAACTTTCTTGTTATTTGAGTGGATTAATGTTACGTTTTGTTAGTAAGAAATGCAAATGGGTATACAAAATTTAAAGTGTAAAGAGTTTTATTATAAAACTGCTTTTGGATGTTTTGCTAAAAGTTTTCAAAGTGTGTTAATGGTTAGACTGAGAATATTGCTTTTCAATATGGGTTTGTAGGAATTGTATAAGTTTGGGTTCCTCTAACTAGGTTTGAGATTTTGTTTAAAACATTATAAAGAAAAGGAGGAGTCATGAGGTTGAATTATGTTTGCAGAAATTATGCTTAACCTATCGATATTAATGCACCCTGGTTTTGTGGAGTTAAGGAAATATTTAAGTTTGATGTGAATACATCGAAATTTTTCCTATGTTCTGTTAGCAAGAAAATTCAAATGATTGAGTTAAAGTTGTAAGACGGAGAAAATTGTAAACTATATATAGCACCATATATGCTAATTCAAATGGTTCTGTTAAGAGTTTGCTTTGTGTTGTAAGATTGGGAGAATTGTGACTACGTATAGCAATATTTGTCAATCTGTTAATGGTAATGATGAAGCTAAGGGATTCTTTTAAGTTTGTAGTTGCCTTAAGAGTTTTTGGTTTAGAAAGGGCTTGAGGCAGCTAAGACTGCTGTAGTCACCTTGGACCTAATTCAAAAGAGAAATGCCATCTTTATCATCCTCTACTCCCATACTGGGAGGTGTAACAGCTATGCAGATTGCTGTAAGCCATTAATAATTAGTTATTTTAAGAAAGGGGGACCGGTGGGAGCCTGTTCTCGGGTTCCTCATGGCTTTACCCAGCAGGTCCGCATAGAGGATGATTAGGACCTGAGTGCAGGTGTCTGAAACGGTCTGCACTTGGCTGTGCTGGGGGAGGAGGTCTTTTGCTCCACTCCTTGACGTCTCTATAAATACCTGGGGAAGCCACAGTCCCTCCCATTGGAAAAGGTTCCAGGCCCTCTTGAGGCTATCCTTTATTTGCTATCTGTTCATCTTCTCGATATTCTCCGCCATATAAATCCTTCTAATATTTCCTGCTGCTCACACTCAAGTAAACTCTGGGGAACTGTGGGGTTGGTGGGTAAAGGCCCCACAGACAGGGATGGAAGCTAACATGAGCGAGCTGAGCTGGCAGAGCTCTGCTAAGAGAGGGGAGTCTCGGGAGCAAGGGGGAGTGCTGGGCAGCCGCTTCGCTGAGGGATGGGGATAGCAGAGCGACTAGCATAGGCGAGCTGAGCAGAACTCGATCAAGCGGTCCCAGCGCGACTGAGAGTGACTGAGCACGACCCCCCCCCCCCCCAAGATAGACGGTAAGGGGGCCAGGGCGGCCAAGCAGGACTGAGCGCTGGCAAACCGAGCGGCTATGGGGAGAGCCAGGGGACAGAGGGAGGAAGCAGGGCGAGCGAGTTGTGCGAGTTTGCAGCCGAGGGAGCAAGGCCAGCGTGGTAGAGCTGGGTGGAGCTCAGCTCCCGGAGGTGATGGGGCCAGCAAGGGGAGCAGTACAAGCAAGGGGAGCGTGGCGGCCGCAGGGTGGCAGCGGGACAGGGATAGCAGCAGGATGAGTGCGGCCTAACGCGGCTGTGCGATTGAGGGGAGCGGTGCGATCCGGGTGGCAGCCAGACAAGCGGAGCGCAGCGTGGCTGTGCGGGGCGGCCGTGGGGCGAGCTAGGAAAGCGGTGCAAGCGGGGCTGCAGCAGGGTGGGGACAGCGGCGAGACGAGCAGGGCAGATCCGGGCTGGCTGCAAGACCGGGTGGAATCAGGACTGGCGCGGGTGAGCGGGGCTGAGTGCTCCGGGAGAGGAGCGGCCGCCAGGCCAGATTGAAGAAAGCAGCTGTGTGAGTTTGAAGGAAGCCGGGCAAGCGCGGCCCAGCCTGACGGAGCACGGTGGAAGGGAGCGGCCCCCGGGCCAGCCAAGGGACATGGGGGGGGGGGGCGGGCAGCGGGGCGAGCAAGTAGCGCGAGCGTCGCAGTTGAGCGAGCGAGGAGGAGCGTGGTTAGCAAAGCAAGCCCGGGGGCAGCGGGCCAGAAGGGGATTCTGAGCCGGGCATCCAGCCCAGAGGCGAACTGACTCAGGGAGGGAGGTGCGATGAGTCACGTTAAAGGGTGGCACTTCAGCGGGTTTCGCCAATCGGCGCGCTGAAGCGAGAGCAAGGCTGGGCGAGGCGACCGGTAGCAGCTTAAGTAGCCGGGCTGGCCCTGGGTGCCCCTGCAGATGCGGCCGAGGGGAGCGGTGGCAGCAAGAAAAGCGCAGCCGAGCGAGCGGAGCTGGGTGAGTGAGGGGAGAGGGGTGGCAGAGGGACAAGCCTGGCTGAGCTGGTGGGTGCCAAGCCCAGAGCCTGAGCATGGCCATGTGGGGCAGCAGAGGGGAGAGCGCTGCCGAGCTGCCTGGAGCAATGCAGAACGGTGCGGCCTCGAGGCGGCAGAACTCCCGCAGCCTGATGAGCCAGGAGCCAGCGAGGCCAGAGGGGCGAGGAGCGGGGCCGCAGCGGTTAGAGAGGGACCAGCTAGGCATGCCAGGCGGAGCGAGGCAAGTGGGGCGACAGTGGGCAACGGGGAGGGAGTTGGCGAGTAGGGGAGCAAGCCCAGCGGGCCGGGGAACCAGCGAGCAAAAGGGAACCACCGGAGACCAGAGCCGAAGCCCCCACCCTTGTACTTTCGTAGTCGCACGCTCCGTGCATCTGAGCTTGACAGAAATCACAGTGTGCAGGGAGGGAGGACCGCTAGGGACTCCAGGAGAGATATAGGAAAAGATGGGAACTAGGAACCCGCAAGGCTGGAGCACAGAAAGGTCTGAATTCACAGCCTAAGTGCCCAGGTTTTGCGAATCCCTGCACAAGGGTCCTCTGCGAGGCTGTACTGAGGACTCTGATTCTCTTCACAGCCCCAGTCACATCTGTCGGTAGCCAGGATTCAGGAGGGAACCATGGCAAAGGCCAGCGCCCCCAGGTGCAATGGTTCCCGAAAGCTGAACCTTTTGGTTCTACTGAACTGTCTGGGGTACACGCTGCCCAATGGTAAGTTCCGGGATTTAATTGGGGGAGGGGGACACTGGACTACTGAGTCAGGAAGGTCACAGTCTCCTCACAGGAAGCTCCTGGGCTTCTCTGCACTGTCACCAGGACTTAAGTCCAGACGCCCTGGTCCTCACCGCATCCCTCCCTGATTCTCTTCAGTGGAATGGCAAAGTTAGGGGGAAAGTCACCGCGGGAGGGCCGGGAAGGGGCTGCATGAATGAGGAGGGCAGGGGAGCAGAGGGGGTAGCTAGTGACACCCTCAGCACCTCTGGGATCAGCTGAAGCCTAAACCGAGTCACCAGTGAGAACGCTCCAGCAGGAGGTCTCAGACAGCTCCCCTGGACCTAAGGCATGCTGTGCTCTGAAGACTGTCTTCCTGGGGATTCCTCACAAGCCCTCCACCATTAGATCACAATAGACACTTCCAGGGACAAGGCAGCCACAAGCATGGACATTCCTACTCCCCCCCCTTTTTTTTTCTTTATATTCTTCTTTCTGTTCTTGTTGATTTGTTTTAAGGCAGGATTTTATACTACAGCACACAATGTAAAATCTGCAACAGTCCCTTCTCTTAATCTTCCAAGCTCTGGGATTACAGATTTGTTGCTGGTTGGTTTTGCCCTTTTGGGGACCCACCACTCAGCTACCAAATAAATCATACCTGGAGGTTCATTCTTAATTATAAATGTCCGGCCTTAGCTTGGCTTCTTTTTTTTTTTTTTTTGCCAGCTTTGCTTCATTTAAATTATCTCCTCTACCTTATGCCTTTGGACTTTTTCCTTTTCTGACTTCTGTGTATCTTACTTTCACTCTTACTCTGTGGCTGGCTGTGTAGCTGGGTGGCTGGCCCTTGGCATTCTCCTCTCCTTGTTCTCTTGCTCTTTTTCTCATTTTGCAACTCTTTTTCTTCTTCCTTCTGCCTAAATTTCTCTTTTTATTCTCTCTTCCTGCCAGCCCCACCTATCCTTTCTCCTTGCCTTGATACTGACCAGTTCTTTATTAGACAATCAAGTGTTTTAGACAGGCACAGTAACACAGCTTCACAGAGTTAAACAAACACAACATAAACAAAAGTAACACACCTTAAAATAATATTCTACAACACAGGTTTGTCTCACCAAGCTCAGCTTCAATTCCCATGTGACTTACCAGCCTGGTCAGCTCCCTTCCCTGCCCACCTATCCTTCCCCACTTTCCCATCCATAAAGTGCATTCAGTGTGACAGACTCAGAATGCAACAAGGTGGTAAATGGGACAGCAGATTTGTCCTCTGTCCATTAGGGGATTAGGATATATCCCATGTACCAGTCTTGGTGCCCATCCCCTCACAGTGTCTTCAAAAGTACAGCCAAAGCTGCCTGTTTCCCAGTCAGCAGTGGGTTCTGGGCTGCCTGTGACTTCTGGGTCAGCTGGAAATGACAGGAGGAGGTCCTGGCTTTAGGGCATCTTGGTCTCTCCACTGCTGTCCAGTGGATTCCTTGGATCCCATGGCCATAGAGGACACTCCTTGAAGCCTGAGGAGCTTGCTGAGGGAGAGGTGGCAGCTTACTTGAGAACTAACCTCAGTCACTACACCCAGATGAGGTAAGATCTCCACAACCATCTGGGGACCAGGAGATGTTCTGTCAGACAAGAGTCCTTGTATCTCCCTGCTAGGCATCCCTCAACACACAGTGACTTGTTACGTCCCTGCAGCGATGTCTCACTTCTGGACATCTTGTCTGACTGTGACCTGTCCACCTAATCACCTAGTGTGAAAGAGCTCACCTCATGATGTCTGCCTGAGGCCTGATGGGGCTTCTCATAGCCCAGGATCACAGGCCACTCTCTCCCAGGCACAGCTCCATGCAGGGGCCACAATGAAATAGAGTACTCTTCTCTGCTGCAGGTGGGTCAGCCTGTCTCCTGCCAAGCAAGGTGATTCTCCTATTAGGAACAGGCTAGTGAACTCCACCCAGGGCCATTTCCTAGAACTGACCCCTCAGGCTGACAGATTGTCCTGTGTCATAGGGCCCTAGACTCAGGTCCAGCCCTGCTCTTCATGAATGTATTTTCTTGCTGCTTTCAACCTACAAAGGCAGAACTGAGCAGGCATAACAGCGACCAATTGGCCTATAAAGACTTCAGTATTTATATAGTAGTGGTATTAGTTACTTTTCTGTCACTATGATAAAACACCAAGACAACAGTAACATACAGAAGGAAAGGTTCAAGGAAGCTTATAGTTTCAGAGGGACAAGAGTCCATCACCTCACAGCAGAGTGTCATGGCAATGGACATGCATGGTGGCTGGAGCAGCAAGCTTAAAGCCCACATATTTTTAGTTTGGTTTGAGTTTTTGAGACAAGGTCTCACTATATAGTTCTGCTGTCCTAGAACTCACTATGTAGAACAGGCTGGAAACAAACTCAGAGTCACCTTCCTCTGCCTCTCAATTGCTGGGATGAGAGCCCTGGGATAACATGCCCAGCTGGAAGCACACATCTTAAACCTCAAGCAAGGTCCAGAGATGAAGAAATGGGAATGGGTTTCAAATCCACACCCCCAAGTGACATACTTCCTTCAGCCAGGCCATACCTCCTAAACCTATCCAAACAGCTGCCACCAACTGGGGACCCAGTGTTCAGACATCCTACTCTATAGAGGACAGGCTCATTCAAACCACCACACTAGACATTCACAGGAGCATCTCGGGGTTCATCCCTGAGTGACAAGACAGTAATGAAGTGATACAAATGAATGACTGCACTTGATGCAGGGCTGGATGGTCCCTCTTGTTGGGACCTGATGGGTCCTCCTAGGAAGGCAATCTGGGTCTGTCTTTGAGGTGGTTCAGTTTTAATTGTTTTTTGTTTTGTTTTGCTTTTTTAGATTTTTTTTCTTTTCTTTCTTTTTTTTTCTTTTACTTTTTTTTTTTTTTTTTTTTTTTACCTGCATGTATGTATGTGCACCACTGTGGGGCGTTTACCCAACCACCCCCACAGTTCCCCAGAGTTTTCTTGAGTGCAAGCAGCAGGAAATATTAGATAGAAGGATTTATTGCGGAGAATATCTCGGAGATAAACAGATAGAAAATAAAGGATAGCCTCAAGAGGGCCTGGAACCTATTCCAACGGGCCCCGACTGTCTCTGCCCCAGGGTTTTTATAGAGACACCAAGGGGTGGAGCAAAAGACCTCCTCCCCCAGCACAGCCAAGTGCAGACCATCTCAGACACCTGCATTCAGGCCTGTGGTCCTAATCATCCTCTATGCGGACCTGCTGGGTAAAGCCATGAGGAACCCGAGAACAGGCTCCCACAGGTCACCCTTTCTTAATATATAAAAAAAAAACCTATTAATGCCTAACAGCAATCTCCATAGCTGTTACACCTCCCAATATGGGAGTAGAGGATGATGAAGATGGCATTTCTCTTTTGAATTAGGTCCAAGGTGACTACAGCAGTCTTAGCTGTCTCAAGCCCTTTCTAAACCAAAAACTCTTAAGGTGACTACAAACTTAAAGAATCCCTTAGCTTCATCATTACCATTAACAGGTTAACATAAATATTGCTATACATAGTCACAATTCTCCCAATCTTACAACACAAAGCAAACTCTTAACAGAACCATTTGAATTAGCATATATGGTGCTATATATAGTTAATTTTCTCCGTCTTACAACATTAACTCAATCATTTGAATTTTCTTGCTAACAGAACATAGGAAAAATTTAGATGTATTCACATCAAACTTAAATATTTCCTTAACTCCACAAAATCAGGGTGCATTAATATCAATAGGGTAAATATAATTTCTGCAAACATAATTCAATCTCATAACTCCTCCTTTTCTTTATAATTTTTTAAACAAAATCTCAAACCTAGTTAGAAAACCCAAACTTTTCCATTTAAACAGTTCCATTTATAACACAATACCAGTTCTGTAAACAGTTCCTAGGTCATTACTATGAATAAACTCAAAATTGTCCCATTGCAATGAAATCTCTACTGTTCATTTCATTTCTTAAGTCCCAAAATTCAAATGATAAATTCTGGTACGAGCCTTCCAAATATGAAGAAATCCATAACCAAAATCTTTTTGTAGTTTTATCTCATTTTAAGTTCAAAAAGTTCAAACAAATAAATTCTAGTATCAGGCTTTCACTTCCAAATATGAAGAGACGTTTTTCAACCAAAACTTTTTGCAGTTAACAATTTTTGTTCAAACAAGTGTCTCTGAACTTATTCTCAAGCCAGAGACCTTTTTAGGTACAGTAGTATTCTAAACCGCACCGTTTTTGATGTTAGCTTAGGTTTTTCTATGTTGCGTCGATTTTCCACAGATCTCAGCTGCGGATGCCTTGTGCTGGTTCTGGCGTCCGCCATTCTTAGCTTCTTAGCGGCTTCTGGAGCTTTTGAAGCCATTCAGACTGCCTACTTTGCAGTCTACTGGGACACTAACCTTCTGTGTCTCAGGTTCTTTCAACCATATACATTAAAAGACTCACACTTAACATTTACACTTTTTCACAAACTCACATATAACATTTTTTGCCTTGCAAAGCATTTAGACTCACATTCAACATTTACACTTTTTTACAAACTCACATAACATCTACTTATTTATACTCCTTAAGGAAACTCTAGCTTATTACTTATATACTTATATTCATTCCATCTTATTTCTTATTTAAACTTACATATACAACTAGCATCTTTACTTCTTACAAGCTTATTACTACATGTCTTAAGACTACCTTAGATATTTCTTGCAAGCTTATATTCTTAAAGGAACTCTATAGATCTATTTTACAAACTTATATAGGGCTACTATTAGCATACATTTAACTTCGCAAACACCTAAAGATTACTTAACACAGAGATCTAACAAGAGAATTTTTTCAAACTCACATATCTTATTTTCATCCTTTTCTACGTCTTACTCTTAATTATTATCACTATCTCTATTAGAAAGATTCTCTTAACTAGACAGGAAGTATATACATCATTTCTAAAGTTTA